TCCCTCTCCCTCTCCCTCTCTCTCTCTCTCTCTCTCTCTCTCTCTCTCTCTCTCTCTTTCTCTCTCTCTCTCTCTCACTACAGTTGTTGGTGTTCTTGTTGTTTTAATCTAGAAGATTTATTAGACCCCATCGACACAATACAGCTTGTTTTAGAGTCAAGCTTCGACCATGCCCGTCACGGCCAACCCAGGCTTGAGAGATACAACACTCCAGCAGAAAGACAGATACTCGATAAAAGTTCTCCCCACACGGGAATCGATCTGGGTGTCTTCTGCATGCGCTGGCCAAGCGCCTTACCGATACACCACAAGCGCCGATTCTGCGGTTGTCGTTGCATCTGTTGTAGCGGCTGTTGCAGATGTGAAAGGCTTTACTGGTACAATAACACGTAAAAATAATTTGTTTATCTCAATTATTGGATTCAAGCCTCGCTCTTCCACTTATTTGTTTTGGGTAAAGAGAAGAAAGTTAGTATTTTTTACACCAGCAACATGAACATTACTTAATTCCATTAGCAGACCAAGCGCCATACAGCATACGTAAACAGGCATATTAATGCAAGTTAATATATTATAATGCATGTATGCAGAAATCTCTGAGAAACAGAATCGCCGGGCTCTGAATATATGACAGAGAAGCAAACAAGCGAGCAGTTACTAGCAATAAACCAAAAAGGCTGAAAGACCAAGAGTGGAAACAAAATTAATACACGTATCTACTAGTAGATGAAAACGAAAAACGTAAATTAAAAAAAAAAAAACTAACCAAAAGAAAGAAAAACAAATGGTTCACCAAGAACTCGTGTCCCAAAACAACGGACAAATAAAAGAAAACATCAAATATAGCTACGTGGGTTTTGGTTGTGTGTTTTTTTTATATAAAGGTAATGATGATAAAGAAAGGAAAAGGAAAATTAAAAACACAAGAAAAAAAAAAAGCTCCGTGAAACACCGCCTCGCACTAAAAACAAATGACGCGTTTTTTGTTTTTTGTTAATTCGTCAACTTACACGTATGTACTATCAAATGTGTCCAACAATACCACCTGGCTACCACTGCCGAGTTGAAAAGAGGTCCTCTCTGACAGATGGTCCTCTTGAACTCATTGTTTGTTTGTTTGTTTGAGTAAAGAGAACCATATCGAAACAATAACGGTTATTTAGTGCTAGGAAAAAGTAATGTAGACAGACAAAAACAAAAGAGTGAAAGTAAAATATAGGACTTAAACCAGTGGCGCCTTCCAACTCCCACGACAGCGTCATTAAAATAGAATTTTAAAAAGAAAGTGGGAAGTGGTCGTCTGTACAGGTGATCATCTTGGACAGGTGGTTGGTAGAGCAGGTTCGACTGCAAAATTTTACAATTAGCAAGGAATAAAAGTGAACATGAGCACGCACAGCGCATGTTATGGTCGCAGGTGTCTGTGTTTGTCTTGTTCTTTGTTTTAGCTTGGGTTCAACACCCCAGTTACAGACCAACAACTGGCGTCAGAATTAAGTGGAATGGTAATAGGCTCTTCGTAGTTGCACGCAGAAAATATGGGTCTGATTTT